TTTTTTTTTTTTTCGTTTCGTTTCGTTTCGTTTCGTCTTGTCGTTTTTCGTCTTTTGTCGGTTCTGGCTCTAGTCTCTGCGTTTGTCTGCTCTTGGTGTCGCTGTCTCCTCTCTTCGTTCTCGTTTTCGTTCGTGGTCGTGTCGTATTTCGCGGCCGCGTGCCGCCCGTCTGCTGTCCGATGCTGTCGTCGCACTGCTGTCGCCTGTCTGTACGTACGTACCGTACCCCCTGCCCTGTCCGGCCCTGCGTCCGCTCGCCGGCGCGTGCAATCAATGTATACGTGGATGTACACGTCGCGTGCTGTCGGCTGTCGGGTGCGCTGTGGTGCGCGCGCCCTGCTGGGCATGCCGCACGCGGTTCGGCCAGCACACGTATGGCCGATGGCAGAGCCGACGAGAGCTTGAACGCCCGGTGATAATCGACACGAATTGAATCGAGAAATTGTGTCATTCAACGAGACAATGAGAAAAACCTGGATTGGCATGAATCACGTAATTCAGCGTTCTTTGCGTGTTTTCAGTGCAATTCGTTGAGTGACCCAGTTTCTTGATTCAATTAATGTCACTTTCCATAGGGCTGAATGTTGAACTCGTCCTGAGACTCAACTCCGCGGTCGCAGCGGCCGGGTGGGCACTGGGCAGGGATCCTGAACGGGCAAACACCTCCCTGGAATCGTTATCTCCCATCCATAGGGATCGTCCAGGATGGCGAGATACGACTCAAGAGCCCCATCCGCGGTGCTTTCATCTCCATTCGGGGACGCTTCGACGGGCCATCCGGCGATCTTTCCGGCGACTCAAGCCCTGGACGTCGTATTTCCCCTTCGCTACTGCTCGACAGCTTCCGTACATCTCTTTGTGGCGTCATGCCCAGTCTGCTGAGTAGAGTGGGACAAGCCTTTGGCTCATTCAGTCGGTCGAGCAGGGTTAATTTGTGTTCCTTGTAGCTTGTAGCACACGGTCCGAGTCTGCCCGTTGGTAGACGATGGGAGAATGAAGATTCGACAATATCGACGAAAAAAAACTGGCACACGCCTTCCGAGCTCACTGCGTCCCGGCGCGAGTACGACACCGATTTCTGGGCGTCCGACGCGGTGGCTTGAATCGTGGAAGGCGAAGCCGCCCATGGTGCACCATTAGGAAAAATAAGATTTGCTAGCCCCCAGTCGGGGCGGCCGCCTATCATAGCCGTGGCTACTCTGCGTGTACCCAGCGGTACGGAGTACACACTAGGAATTGAACATCAAAGATCCAAACATAAAATAAAAACAAATCGAAGAGCTGAACGGGCGGTGTCGAGCGGCGCCCGCACACGCCCGAATCCCATCGCGCGCACGTACGCGCGCCGCTCACTGCGGCACCACCCTGTGATGTCCCTGCCGTGCGGCGGGCTAGTGCAGCAAGGGACGCACCGCGCGCTCCTCCGCCATGAGGGCCTCCCACTGCGCCCTCGTCCCCGGATAGGCCTCGAGGAACGCGCGGATCCGTCCAGCGGCCGCGTCCGGGAGGTCCTGGGGCATCCAGCCCGCCGCGCTCTGGCTGATCTGCACCCCCCGCGCGCGGGCGATGTCGAGCAGCTCCTCGATATCGCGCACGTCGTCGAACTGCTTGGCGCGCTTGTACCACCGGCCGGACTGGCGGTGGTCGTCCCAGCTCTGCAGCTTGAGGAAGAGGAGGAGGAGGAGGAGGGGCATCGCGGGGAGGTCCGCGAGCGTGACGACGAGGCGCTGGGGGACGGTGGGGATGTTCAGGGTGCCCGGGACGAGGATGTCGACTTTGCAGCGCGAGAAGGGCAGGCGGTACCACAGCACGCGGTATGGCGCCAGCGGGTCGCGCGCCCGGACGAGGTAGAAGCTGCTGTCGGCGCGGACGAGGAGCTCCTTCAGCTCCTCCTGCGAGTGCGCGCTCGTCT